GAGGCCCCTTGCCAGACGGGGCGGCTCGCTCTGCAGCAGGCGGCGGAACGGCAAAGGAGCGCCGTGCGGCGTAGGGTGCGCGCGCGCGCGCGCCCCATCGGGCTCGGGGGGCTCTCTGCTCGCTCTCTCTCCCCCGGCCGCACACCCCCGACACACGCATCGGGCTTTCGTCCCTTGCTCCGAGACAACGAGTCACGACTCGCGCCTCTCTCTCTCTCTCTCCTCGCGGCTCGGCTCCAGCCGCACCGCCGCCCGACGCTGCTCGCGGCCGGCACACCCACGGGGCGCTCAAACCGGGACCGAGGCCGGCACCGGCAAAACCTCGCCTGCTTTCGAAGGACAACCTGGAAGGCTCGCGGGGCCACGCGGCCGTCACACAGCTGGGCACGGTCCAGACGCCCTTCCCCGGCAGCGGGAGGGGCGACGCCTCGCCTGCGACGGGAAGCGAATCGAAGAGGAGACCGCCCGGCCCGAACACCGGACCCCGGCCGTGAGCTTCCCCATGACAGAGAAGCCCCGGCAGAAAGCCCGGCCGGCCGGGGGCCCTCTCCGACGCCACCCGAGAAGCCTCATCGATCGGGGGCGGACGCGGCTGCAGAAGGGCGGAGGAGGCAGCGAAGCGGGGAGGCGAGAGCCCAGCAGCCGCAGAACCGCCCCCGGCCGAAAGTGCGGAACGCACCAACGGCCACGGCAGAGCCCAGCGCGCACGACCCGCCGACGGGTCGTGGCGGGGAGGGGGGGGCTCCGCGCGCGTGCGAGCGGGGACACGCGTGTCCCCGACCGATCCCTCTCTCGCGGATCGGTCCCGGCCGGGGAGATCGGGGGGGTGCCGCCACCCACCCGCGGACAACGGTTCTCTTGGCCGGGCGACGGGAGGACGGGACCGCCGGGCCGGGGGAGGGGTGGGCTTCACCCTTCCCGCCCGGGGAACCGCGTCCGAGCGTGCGAGGAAACGGTGCCGCCACCGGCTCTCGCCCGGCCTCGCGGCGCGGGCTTCGGTCTCCCTCTGTTGTCTCTCGCCTTCGGAAAAGCCGGGGTAGGTCACCGATTAAGAGGAAAAAGAAAAAAAAAAAAAAAAAAAAAAAAGGCACATGGGCGCGCGGACACCACAAGGACCCGTGCTAGCCACGGGGGCCGTGGGCCCGGGGCGGGGGGCGAGGCGCACGCGGCCTCTCTCGCTGCCCTCCCCGCTTCGGAACCCGCCGGCATCGGCTCGGCTCGGGGCTCGCTCAGCCCCCCCTTCTTTGCCACACAACCTCGGCTTTCGTGGGCCCGCACGCTTCTCCGTGCCGCGGCTTAGGGCCGCAAGAGGAAAAGGCCATCGGAGGCCGGGCGGGCGGGGCGCCCCCACAGCACCCGCGCGCACGCCTTCAAAAAGAGCAACGGACCCGGGGGGGGCCGGGCAAGCCAGCCCCACCCCGGCAGAAGCGGGCTCGGTCGCCACGACCGAGGAAGGGCGAGGCGCCGCCGCCTACGCCCGCGACCTTCCGGGAGTGCTCTCTGCCGGGGCTCCGGTCCGTGCTGGTGGAAAAAAAAGGCTGCCCGCCGCGAGGCGGGTCCCCGGCTTAAGGCCGAGGAAGGGGGACGACTTCAACAAGAGGCGCCGCTGGCACGGGGTGCCGCCACCCCGGCGCCACGGCTGGATCGGGCGACCGCCGTCACCGAGCCCCCCCCCTGTCTCCGGCCACACGGCGAAGGCCGGGGCCAGGCCGCGGGTGCCCCGCCGCTGCCCTTCCGACACGGACACGCTGGCAAACGAGGTCGGGAGCGGGGGAACCGGGCACCGCCACCGCGGCGGGCCGACCGGGCCTTGCTCGGGGTTTGGTGGCTCTCGGGCAAGGGCCGGGGAAAAACCCCGGCCGCGTCGACCCCCGGCTGCCGGCCACCGGGCGACCAAGACCGACAGCCGAAAATAAACACCCGCGCCCGGCGGGCCCCGGCTTAAGGCCAGGCAGAAAAGGGACGAGGCGCCGCCGCACCTCGCCCGCCAGCCCATCGTGTCTCCCAGGGGGGCCGCCCCCCCTTGCAAACCGGGCCGGCGGCGGCCGACCGGAGCGGAACGCCACACTCGAGCCCGCCCGCGGCGGGGGCTGTCTCTCTCTGCAACCTTGGCTGCGCTCAGCGAGCGGCTTCTCGACACGCTCTTTCGGCCTTTCGCTTCGTCTCTCTCGCGGCCCTCGCTCTGGCTTTCTCGGCCTCGTCATTTCTCGCTGGCCTCTCGGGTCGGATATTCCTCGAAACTGCCCTGGGGGGCAGGACGGGGCACCGGGACCAAGCCCCCGCGGCTCACCCGGTGCAGGCGGCACTCGCTTCGCCCCGACGACCGCGCGCGACGCGGCCGCCCTATCCTCCGCCTCGGACACAGGCGCCCTCGTGGAACCTGCGGGGATGCGGCCCGTCACCTCGCTCCCAATATACGTACAGACGAGTCCAAGGCCGCCGGCGCCTCCAAGGGGACCGCTGGCGCTCGACCGGGAAGCTGCGCCACCGCAGGCCGCCCTCTACGTCGACGTAGCCGGAGGCGGCTGGAAACAGCGACCCCTTGGCGAACTTCCGGCGCCGGCCGGGACAACAGGTCTACCCGGCAGTTCGGACAGCAGGTCTACCCGGCAGTTCGGACAGCAGGTCTACCCGGCAGTTCGGACAACAGGTCTACCCGGCAGTTCGGACAGCAGGTCTACCCCGGAGTCCGGACACCAGGTCTACCCCGGAACACGGGTCTACCCCGAGATTCGGACAACGGGTCTACCCCGCGGTTCGGACAGCAGGTCTACCCCGTATTTCGGACAGCAGGTCTACCCCGAGATTCGGACAACAGGTCTACCCGCCAGCAGGGACAACAGGTCTACCCCGGAGTTCGGAACCCAGGTCTACCCCGCAGTCCGGACACCAGGTCTACCCCGTAGTTCGGACACCAGGTCTACCCCGCGGTTCGGACAAGAGGTCTACCCCGGAGTTCGGACAGCAGGTCTACCCCGAGATTCGGACAACAGGTCTACCCCGGGATTCGGACAACAGGTCTACCCCGGGATTCGGACAACAGGTCTACCCCGAGATTCGGACAACAGGTCTACCCGCCAGCTAGGACAAGAGGTCTACCCCAGAGTTCGGACATCAGGTCTACCCCGGAGTTCGGACACCAGGTCTACCCCGAGATTCGGACAAGAGGTCTACCCCGGAGTTCGGACAACAGGTCTACCCCGGAGGCCGGACAGCAGGTCTACCCCGCAGTCCGGACAGCAGGTCTACCCCGAGATTCGGACAAGAGGTCTACCCGCCAGCAGGGACAACAGGTCTACCCCGGAGTCCGGACAGCAGGTCTACCCCGGAGGCCGGACAAGAGGTCTACCCCGCAGTCCGGACAACGGGTCTACCACGGATCCCGGACCAAAGGTCTACCCCGGCGCCCGGACCAAAAGGTCTAAGCTGGCGCACGGGCAACGGGTCCACCCCGGCGCCCGGAGAAGAGGTCTACCCCGGCGCCCGGAGAAAAAGGTCTACCCCCGCGCCCGGAGAAGAGCTCTAGCCCGGTTGCCGGACGACAGGTCTACCCCGGGTCCCTGGAAACAGGTCTAGCCCGGCGCCCGGACAAGAGGTCTACCCCGGCGGTCGGACAACAGGTCTACCCCCGAGATTCGGACAAGAGCTCTACCCCGGAGTTCGGACAAAAGGTCTACCCCGGCGCCCGGACAGCAGGTCTACCCCGCAGTCCGGACAGCAGGTCTACCCCGAGATTCGGACAAGAGGTCTACCCGCCAGCAGGGACAACAGGTCTACCCCGGAGTCCGGACAGCAGGTCTACCCCGCAGTCCGGACAACGGGTCTACCACGGATCCCGGACCAAAGGTCTACCCCGGCGCCCGGACCAAAAGGTCTAAGCTGGCGCACGGACAACAGGTCCAGCCCGGCGACCGGAGAAAAAGGTCTGCCCCGGCGCCCGGGCAAATGGTCTTCCCCGGCGCCCGGAGAAGAGGTCTACCCCGGCGCCCGGAGGAAAAGGTCTACCCCCGCGCCCGGAGAAGAGCACTAGCCCGGGTGCCGGACGACAGGTCTACCCCGGGTCCCTGGAAACAGGTCTAGCCCGGCGCCCGGACAAGAGGTCTATCCCGGCGGTCGGACAACAGGTCTACCCCGGAGGCCGGACAACAGGTCTACCCCGGAGGCCGGACAAAAGGTCTAAGCTGGCGCCGTTCGGACAACAGGTCAACCTCGGGGCCGGGAACACAGGTCTGCCCCCGGCGCCCGGAACACGAGGTCTGCCCCCGGGGCCACGGGGCCACAGCATCTCAGCGGGGCCAGCGTGCAAGGGAAGCGCGTCGGCGGCGGCCCCCGATGCGACTCGGGCGGTCGCTTCTGGGCCGTTCCTGGGCGGCTTCTTTCACGGTCCGCAGAGCCCTTCGGCCCTCGGCAGGGGTCCGGGGGGGGGCCGCGGGGGGCTCGGCGTCGAGGTGCCCGGCGCCAGCACGGAGGCGCCGGCCCACGGCCCTCGCTCACAGAGAGAAAGAGAGAGAGGTACAGAGAGAGAGGGAGAGAGACAGGGACACGCACGCCCGCTCCACACACTCACAATCCGACGCCACCCCCTCAGAGCACCCCCCCGCCCCCAACCCCGTCCCGCCGCTCCTGCACGCACTCTGGCGTGGCCTCTCTCCCCGTCCCTGCCCCCTGCCCCTGCCCTGTCTGTGGCAGCCGCCCGCCCATCGACGGTTGGGGGCGCCCCGCCCTGCCCCGTCAGACTCCCCGGCGCCGCCCGCAGCCTTTACCCTCAAGTCCCCCGCCCGCTCTCTGCTCGGCCGCTTGGCACGTCTGCAGCGGCGGCAGGGCCGGGAGCCGGCCCACATCGAGGCAGGCGGGGCCTTCGGCCGGCAGGGCCAGAGCCCGCGGCAGAGGCGGCAGCCCCTTTTCCGAGAAGCCTTCTCCTCGGCTCTCGCCCGGCCTTCCTGCTTTGACGGCCTTCCTTCCTTGGCGCTCCGGCCCGGCCCGGCCCCGTCCCAGCCCGG